ATCATGTTTTGTTTTCTTGTTTTTTTCTTTAAAAGACAGGTTCTCACTCTGTTGCCCAGGTTGCTGGAGTGCAGTGATACACTCACAGCTCACTGCAGGCTCGAACTCCTGGGCGCAAGCAATCCCCCCTCCTCAGCCCCCCGAGTAGCTAAGATTACAGGTGCTTACTACTGCACCTGGCTGAAAAACATCTTTATTGAGGTATAATTTACATACCATAAAAGTCATTCATTTAAATGTCGAATTCAACCACTTTACTGATGGTGTGCAGCCATCACCACAACCCAATTTTAGAACATTTCTATCACCCCAAAAAGGGTGCTTGTGCCCATTTGCAGTAACCCCCTGTTGTCACCCCCAGAGCCAGGGGACCACTCTGTCTCTATAGATTTGCCTGTTCTAGACATTTTATATAAATGGAATCATACGTTTATCCATGGTGTAGCATTTATTACTACCTTGGTCCTTGAAAATAAAATTTTTTTTGAGACGGAGTTTTGCTCTCGTTGTCCAGGCTGGAGTGCAAGGGCATGATCTCGGCTCACTGCAACCTCTGCCTCCCAAGTTCAAACAATTCTCCTGCCTCTCCCTCCCGAGTAGCTGGAATTACAGGCATGTGCCACCATGCCTGGCTAATATTTTTGTGTTTTTACTAGAGACAGGGTTTCATCATGTTGGCCCAGGCTGGTTTTGAACTCCTGACTTCAAGTGATCTGCCCGCCTCAGCCTCCCAAAGTGCTAGGATTACAGGCGTGAGCCACTGCGCCCACCTATAGTGAATCTTCAATTTTACACACCATATGTAGGTTGTGGGTTTGATTTATATTTGCCCAGTGAATGGATCCCACAGCAAGAGAAAACTTCTTTAGAAAGGCAGAAGGGGATGGAAGCTGTAGCTAGAGGCATTTGTGGTGGATAAGGACTCTGTATGGAGTCTCTGACAAGCCTCATTAGAAGATTTTTTTTTTTTTGGTAGAGATGAGGTTTCTCCATGTTGGTCAGGCTGGTCTCAAACTTGTGACCTCAGGTGATTTGCCTGCCTCAGCCTCCCAAAGTGCTGGGATTACAGGTGTGAGCCACCACGCCCGGCCCTCAGTAGATTTTTATGATGTTCAACCATCTTTTCATGTGTTTATTTGCCATCTGTATTTCTCCATTGTTAAAATGTCTGTTCAATTCTTTTGCCCATTTAAAAAACTGGGCTGTTTTATGAGTTTTGAGAACTCTTTATTTCATCTATATACAAATTCTTTGATACATGCCTAGCAAATATTTTCTCCAATTTTGTGGTTTGTCTTTTCATTTTTTTTTTTAATGGAACAAGTTCCAAATTTTTAACCTGGACAAAGAGAATTTAAACCAAGCATATCATACTTCCAAAATATATATCCATCAGTGAGTCAGCAAAAATCGTCAGAAAAGCAACTGGGATTGACTCTGAAGCTGCTGTAATTAATCCTCATCATCTCATTGCAAAGCTACTACCTGAATTTCTTTGGCTATCCTTTCTGTTAATATTATCTGCAGCAATTACTCTTAGTGACATCAGATGGTCCACCTGTAACATCCATTAGCATGCCACCAGCTTCAGTAACAATAATGCCAGCTCCTGCAACATCTCAGCAGTGAATTCTCATTTCATAAAATGCATCTGCTCCTCCAGTTGCTACAAGGTACATATTAATAGCTGCTGTTCCAACACTACAGATCCCATGAACAAGAATGAAAAAAAAAAAGCTTTTCCATATTAGAAATAACAATTTTGGTGTTCTTTTTTTGTTTTGTTTTTTGGTAGAGACGGGTTCTCCATGTTGGCCAGGCTGGTCTTGAACCCATGACCTCAAGTGATCTGCCAGCCTCGGCCTCCCAAAGTGCTGGGATTATAGGCATGAACCACCACGGCCATCAGGAAAGAACAATTCTTTTTTTTTTTGAGATGGAGTTTCACTCTTGTTACCCAGGCTGGAGTGCAATGGCGTGATCTCGGCTCACCGCAACCTCCGTCTCCTGGGTTCAGGCAATTCTCCTGCCTCAGCCTCCTGAGTAGCTGGGATTACAGGCATGCACCACCATGCCCAGCTATTTTTTTGTAATTTTAGTAGAGACTGGGTTCCACCGTGTTGACCAGGATGGTCTCGATCTCTTGACCTCGTGATCCACTTGCCTCTGCCTCCCAAAGTGCTAGGATAACAGGCATGAGCCACCGCACCTGGCCTAGGAAAGAACAATTCTTACAGTCTCTGGTGTTCTGGAAGAGCCCACCCAACTCAGTCACCAAGGGTGATTTGGTAATATCTTCTTGTGAAACCTGTAGTTTTTAACCATTACGAAAGGCACCTTTTCCTTTCCTGGCAGTGTACAACTTATCTTCCACACAAATGTAAACCACTCTAAATTATATCTTGTTATTTACAGCAAAGCCAATTGAAACAACTACAAAAGGAAATCTATATACAAAGTTGTCCCGCCAGGCACAGTGGCTCATGCCTGTAATCCCAGCACTTTGGGAGGCCGAAGCAGGCAGATCACCTGAGGTCAGGAGTTCAAGACCAGCCTGGCCAACATGGTGAAATCCCGTCTCTACTAAAAATGCAAAAATTAGCTGGGCATGTTGGTGTGTGCCTGTAATCCCAGCTACTCAGGAGGCTGAGGCAGGAGAATTACCTGAACCCAGGAGGTGGAGGTTACGGTGAGCCGAGATGGCGCCATTGCGCTCCAGCCTGGGTAACAAGAGCGAAACTCCGTCTCAAAAAAAAAAAAAAAAAGACACCTTTTTCCCCAGCTGCCACAGATTCCTCATCAATGAAACTGAGATGGATACTTTTATTTTAAGGAAGAAATAAGCATTTCTTCAACTTTTTGGTCCATAGCAGTTACCAAATCAACTGGAGAACTTTTAGGCATAACATTCATTTCATTTTTTAGAGCATCACAAATTACCTCTCCAGCTCATTTTGCTAGAGGTACTGCATAATCCATGCATTTTTGCCAAGCATCAGCCATCTTCTTGAGTCAGAGGGCTTCCTGCTAGCTTGGTGCCTGGTGTTTTCACGCTCGGCTCTTCCAGAGGTAGAGGGGCTACCTGTGTTTTCATTCTTAATGATGTCTTTAGGCCAGGCATGGTAGCTCATGCCTGTAAACCCAGCACTTTGGGAGGCTGAGGTGGGCAGATCACCTGAGGTCGGGAATTCAAGACCAGCCTGACCAACCCTGTCTCCACTAAAAATACAAAAGTAGCCGAGCATGGTGGCGCATTCCTGTAGTCCCAGCTACTCGGGAGGCTGAGGCAGGAGAATCGCTTGAACCTGGGAGGCAGAGGTTTCGGCGAGCCGAGATTGCACCACTGCACCCCAGCCTGGCAACAAATGCAAAACTCTGTCTCAAAACATAAAAACAAACAAAAACTATGTATTTCAAAGAACAAAAGTGACTAATTTTGATCAAATCCAATTAATCAATTGTTTTCTTTTATGGATGCTTTTGTTGTCACTCTAGAAAATCTTTGCTTGATCAAAGGTCATGAAGATTTTCTTAGTCTTCCTTCCTTCCTTCCTTCCTTCTTCTTTCTTTCCTTTCTCTCTCTCTCTTTCTCTCTCCTTCCTTCCTTCAAGGTCATGAAGATTTTCTCTTGGTCTTTCTTTCTCTCTCTCTCTCTCTCTTTCTTTTTCTTTCCCTCCCTCTCTCCCTCTCTCTTTTTCTTTCCCTCTCTTTTTTTTCTGAGACAGAGTTTTGCTCTGTTGCTCAGGCTGGAGTGCAGTGGTGCGATCTCCACTCATCGCAACCTCCGCCTCCCAGGTTCAAGTGATTTTCCTGCCTCAGCCTCCCAAGTAGCTGGGATTACAGGCGCACACCAACATGCCCAGCTAATTTTTGCATTTTTAGTAAAGACGGGGTTTCACCATGTTGGCCAGGTCTTGAATTCCTGACCTCAAGTGATCACCTGCCTTGGCCTCCCAAAGTGCTGAAATTACAGGCGTGAGCCACCACGCCCGGTTAAATTTTTGTATTTTCAGTAGAGACAGGGTTTCAGAACCTATGTTGGCCAGGCTGGTCTCGAATGCCTGACCTTGTGATACAACTGCCTCGGCCTCCCAAAGTGCTGGGATTACAGGCGTGAGCCACTGCACGCGGCCCAACACTTCTATTCTGTTGCATCGATCATTCGTCTACCTGGACGCCAATACTACACTTTCTTTTTTAAATTAATTAACTAATTAATTGAGACAGGGTCTCTCTGCCACGCAGGCTGGAGTGCAGTAGTGCAATCTCAGCTCACCACAGCCTCAGCCTTCTGGGCTCAGGTGATCCTCCCATCTCAGCCTCCTGAGTAGCTGGGACTACAGGCTCGTGCCTGGCTCATTTGTTGTAGAGACGGGGTTTTGCCATGTTGCCCAGGCCGGATATCTTTTTTTCTTTTTTTTTGAGACGGAGTCTTGCTCTGTCACCCAGGCTGGAGTGCAATGGCACGATCTCGGCTCACTGCAATCTCTGCCTCCCTAGTAGCTAAATTCCAGCGATTCTCCTGCCTCAGCCTCCCTAGTAGCTGGGATTACAGGCGCCGGCCACCACGCCCGGCCCCAATACTACATATTCTTGTCTACTATATAGTCCTTATCTTCTGGCACAAAGCGGGCACTCGCTAAAAACCTGAATGAAAGTATGAAACGATGGGTCGCCCTCCGCCTGCCCCACCCACCCCGCAGCTCCAGATCGTCACCTGAGCCGAGCCCCGGCCTCGGAGCCAGTCTGAAACTGCCGCTGCCGAACGCCGCGTATCTCAGGTCCGTGCCTGACCAATCGGAGACCGCCCTTCCGGGGCCCGTCCCATTCCGGGAATTAACTTCCGGACCGGCTTCAAAAATTGACCAATTGGTTGTATAGTTCCGCCATTGGCCCCGCCCCACGTTGAAACTGCCGCGTCTGATAGCCGAATAACGCTCGCTGGGCCTCCTGGCCCCGCCCCACACTTGACCAATCAGGACTGTAGGCGGAGGTTCCGCCCCCAGCCGGCGACTGGGAGCAGCTCCAGCAGCTTCGGCCGCTGTGGCGCGGGCGGGGGACTTCTGCGCGGTGAGTACGGGGCGGCGGGACTGGGGCGGGGCGGAAGGGCTCGGCCGGAGGCCCCACGTGCGTTCCCACGGGGATCTCCGGGGTCGCAGTGGAAAAGAAGGAGAGGCTGCGTCTGTCTCTGCTGGGGTCCCGCCTCGGCGTCTGCCCGCTTGGCCTCCGTTACTTCTGCAGCCCCGATGTTTCTGGAGTGTCGCTTTCCCGGTGCCTCTGTTCAGCGTTTCCCTTTCGAAAGCGTGGCCAGGGCCAGGGGAGGGCAGGCCAGCTGTGCCCTTTGACCCCGTGCGAAAACGGCCACCCTCTGACTACAGGGGTGTGGCCCAGAGCCACTTGGCCAGTTAGGGGTGGGGGCTGGGATCCTCGTCCTGCGGATCAAGCAGTTGGCCCCCTATGACTGCACCTCCGTGCCCCCCAGCCCTGCAGGGTCATATCCGTGTGGAGAGGTTCCAGGGTAGTCTGCTTCTCTCTGCTCCAGACCTTGCACTCAATCCTGATGATCCCTAGAGGTGGGAGGCAAGGGCTGGGAGGAGGAGGCGGAAAGGCTTCCCAAGAACCCTGGACTCATGGACCCTGGAGTTAGATTTTGGTTCAGATCTTGCCTCTTGCTAGCTGTGTGAGTTGGGGCAAGTTGTTTAACTTCCCTGAACTTTGGTTTCTTCATATGTAAAAAGAAAGTGAAGGAGAAAGGGAAGGCAGGAAAGGGGGAAGAATCCCTTTTGAAACCTGATTTGTATTGGATTCACCAGTTATAAAGCAGTCTTGTCCAAACCACTGCCCAGGAGGCAGAGGTTGCAGTGAGCCAAGAAAAAGGCAGCATGCCCTGGCCCCAGCCATTTTGGTAACAATAGACGTTTATTGAATGCATACTATGTACCACTGTAAGCATCGTACTGTGTTGTTTTTTGTATTGTATGTGTGTGGACAGTCTTAGCCTGTCACCCAGGCTGGAGTGCAGTAGTATGATCTCTGCTCACTGCAGCCTCCATCTTTCAGGTTCATGGGATTTCTCCTGCCTCAGCCTCCTGAGTAGTTGGGATTACAGGTGCCCACCACCACGCCTAGCTATTTTTTTTTTTTTTTTTTAAGATGGAGTCTTATCCTGTTGCCCAGGCTGGAGTGCAGTGGTGCAATCTCAGCTCACTGCAACCTCCACCTTCTGGGTTCAAGCAATACTCCTGCCTCAGGCTCCCAAATAGCTGGGATTACAGGCATGCACCACCACACCCAGCTAATTTTTGTATTTTTAGTAGCAATGCGGTCTCCCCATGTTGTCCAGGCCTGTCTCAAACTCCTGACCTCAAGGGATCCACCTGCCTCGGCCTCCCAGAATACTGAGATTACAGGCGTGAGCCACTGCGCCTTTTTGTGTGTATATATATATATATATATATATATATATATATTTATATATATATGTTTTATATTATATATATATATTTATATATATATGTTTTATATTTTATATATATATATATATATATATATTTTTTTTTTTTTTTTTTTTTTTTGAGATGGAGTTTCGCTCTTGTTACCCAGGCTGGAGTGCAATGGCGTGATCTCAGCTTACCGCAACCTCTGCCTCCTGGGTTCAGGCAATTCTCCTGCCTCAGCCTCCTGAGTAGCTGGGATTACAGGCACGTGCCACCATGCCCAGCTAATTTTTTGTATTTTTAGTAGAGACAGGGTTTCACCATGTTGACCGGGATAGTCTCGATCTCTTGACCTTGTGATCCACCCGCCTCGGCCTCCCGAAGTGCTGGGATTACAGGCTTGAGCCACCGCGCCCGGCCTATATATATATTTTTTATTTTTTTAGACAGACTGTTGCTGTGTCACCCAGGCTGGAGTGTAGTGATGCCACCATGACTCATTGGAGCCTGGACCTCCTAGGCTAAAGCAATCCTCCTGAGTAGCTGGGGCCACAGGCAAGTGCCACTACACCAAGCTAATGAAAAAATTTTTTTTTTGTAGAGATGGGGGGTCTTACTATGTTGCTCAGGCTTAACATGCTTTCTTTTATTCTAACAGCAATCGTATGAGGTAGATATTGTTACTGTCTAGCAGATGAGGAAACTGAAGCACAGAGAGGTTCAATGACTTGCCTGAGGCAGTACGGTTGATGATTGTCGAATGGGGGTGTCTGGCACCACAGGGCACCCTACTGAGCCCTGTGTCCTGCTCTCTTGACTTCAGGTAGAACGGTTGGGCCTGGAACCCAGCCTTGAGGACATCCTGCGGCCCAAGGGCCAGTGACACCTGCTACGGGAGGCCCAGGATGGTAGAGGCCGAGGACTCGACACAGCTGCGACTGCTCAACCTGGAGCTCCTGAGGCAGCTGTGGGCGGGGCAGGATGCTGTACGGCAGTCAGTGGCCAAGGCAGCCTCAGAGGTGCGTGCCCACCTTGGGAACCCCAGAGGAAGGGGCTCCCTGACCCTCAGGTGAGCATCCAGGCTTCCAGGCTCATCTTGTCCAACACACCCATTTTACTGATGATGGGGACACTGAGGGCTGGGAGGGAAGAGACTGGCGTGGTTACTGCTGAGGCTGGAGCAGGATGATGATGCAGGCCTTGGTGCCTGGCGCAGGCCCGGGGGATAGGCTCTGGCAGCCGCTTCTGGGTGACCCGGCCTCTCTCTCTAGTCAAGCCCAGAATCCAGCAGCAGCTACAACTCAGAGGCTCCATCGACCCCAGAGTCATCCTCAACTTCCTCGGACACCTCCTACTCACGGGGCTCATGCCCTGTGTGGCCCCCACCAGATGCCTGCCAAGGGGACCCCTGCGAAGTGGCCAGCTTGAGGGTGGCCTCTCTCCCACCTGCCAAGTGCCAGCATCAGGAGCCCCAGGGCCGACCGAGACCCCACTCAGCACCCTCGCTGAGCACCTCAAGCCTGAGGCACCCAGAGCCCTCAGTGGAGCTGGGTGATCCGGGACCCCAGGAGGCACAGGCCCTAAAGTCCATCCTGAGTCAACAGAGCAAGCTGTCCAAGGTAACGTGGGAGAGTGGGACATCTGCTGATGGGAGCTTCCCTGGGCCATCTCAGTTTCCCTATCTGAAACATGTGCTTGAGGGCAGCCTCCTTGCAGGGTAAGTGGCCCTTGGGAGGTGCTGTGAGTTGGGTCCGGCTCAGCCTAAATGCTCCGTAAGTGGTAGCTGTTGAGTTTTTCAGACAGCACTTTGGGAAGAGGCCAGGCTTTGTTCACAGTCACACATAAAGTGGGGCCAGACATTTCCTTCTGCTCTTGTGCCCTTGGCTGAGCCCTGGGCTCCAAGTCAGGGTATAAGTTAAGACCCAGTCTCTGTCCCTTGAGGTGTGGCTTTCCTTGGGCCGGGCCTCCTGGCTTAGCCCTTGTCCCTCTGTGCCTCCCTCCTCAGCCCAGGGTGACCTTCTCTGAGGAGTCTGCAGTGCCTGAGAGGAGCTGGCGCCTCCGGCCGTACCTGGGCTATGACTGGATTGCAGGTAAGGCCTGCTTCCGCCCTGCACACACTTTGCCTGGGAATGGAGGTGGTGGCCTGGGCGCCTCTCTGCTCCTGTCTCAGCCTCCACCCATGCTGCTGCTTGTTTCTCTGATGGTGCCACCTTCCTTGGGGAGCACCTTCAGTTTTTATTTTTCTTTGAGACAGAGTCTCACTCTGTCGCCCAGGGTGGAGTGTAGTGGTGTGATTTCAGCTCATGGCAACCTCCACCTCCGGGTTCAAGTGATTCTTGTGCCTCAGCCTCCTGAGTAGCTGGGATTGTAGGCAAGCGCCACCAGGCCTGGCAAATTTTTGGTATTTTTAGTAGAGGCAGGGTTTCACCGTGTTGGCCAGTGTTGGCTGGTCTCGAACTACTGAGCTCAAGTAATCCACCTACCTTGGCCTGCGGAAATGTTGGGATTACAGGAGTGAGCCACCACCCCCCATAGCCCTACCTTCTTCTTCTTTTTTTTTTTTTTTAACTATTTATTTATTTGTTTTGAGATGGAGTTTTCCTCTTGTCACCCAGGATGGAGTGCAATGGTGTGATCTCAGCTCACTGCAGCCTCCACCTCCCGGGTTCAAGCTATTCTCCTGCCTCAGCCTCCCAAGTAGCTGGGATTACAAATGTGTGCCACCATGCCCAGCTAATTTTTGTATTTTTGGTAGAGATGGGGTTTCACCATGTTGGCCAGGCTGCTCTTGAACTTCTGACCTCAGGTGACCCACCTGCCTTGGCCTTCCAAAGTGCTGGGATTACAAGGCATGAGCCACCATGCCTGGCATTTTGTTTTGTTTTGTTTTTTTTTTTTTTTTTTTTTTTTGAAGACAAGACAGGCCGGGCGCAGTGGCTCAAGCCTGTAATCCTAGCACTTTGGGAGGCTGAGGTGTGTGGATCATGAGGTCAGGAGTTCAAGACCAACCTGACCAACATGGTAAAACTCCATCTCCACTAAAAATAAAAAAATTAGCTGGACATGGTGGCGGGTGCCTTGTAGTTCCAGCTATTTGGGAGGCTGACGCAGGAGAAATCGCTTGCACCTGGGAGGCAGAGGTTGCAGTGAGCCAAGATCGTGCCATTGCACTCCAGTCTGGGTGACAGAGTGAGGCTCTGTTTCAAAAAAAAAAAAAAAAAAAAAAAAAGAGACAAGAACAGTAGTGAGACGGGGGAAAGAATAGAACAAAGAGTTTGGTCTGTCACTGGCTGTGAGCCATCAATTGCAAATAACTTACTACCTTCATACCAGCCTCTGAGCACCTTCTGAGCCATGTCTGCTCTCTTGGCCTCAGGCACAGAGACGGTGCATCTGTTGAGTGAGTGAATGAGTCTGAGCTGTTGTATGTTTGAGCATTTGTTATGTGCCAGGCCTCTGCCCAACTCCATACCAATGCCAGCTCTTTTCACATTACTGCCCAGCTGTCTCCAACAGCAACCTCAGCTGCCTTCTGGCCAGTTTCCCCCTGGCTTATGTCCCATCTCTGTCCTTTTCGTGTGTGTGTGTGTGTGTGTGTGTGTGTGTGAGAGAGAGAGAGAGAGAGAGAGAGAGAGAAAACATAAACACATAACAAAATTTACCACTGTAGCATTTTTTAGGTGTACTGTTTAGCCGCATCAAGTATATCCACACTGTTGAGCTGTTACCACCAACATCCACCTCCAGAATTTTTTCATCTTCCCAAAGACTTCTCTCCCCATTAAATAATTACTCCCATTCCCCAACCCTCCAGCCCTGGACCATCACCGTTCTACTTTCTGAATTTGACTCCTCTAGTGACCTCATATAAGTGAAATGACAGTATTTGCTCTTTTGTGATTGGCTTATTTTATGTCACATAATGGCCTCAAGGTTTATTCATGTTGTAGTGTGTGTGGGAACTCCCTTCCCTTTTTTTTTTTTGGTTTGAGACAGAGTCACACTGTATCGCCCTGGCTGGAGTGCAGTGGTGCAATCTCGGCTCACTGCAACCTCCATCTCCTAGGTTCAAGTGACTCTTGTGCCTCAGCTCCCAAGTAGCCGGGATTACAGGTGTGCGCCACCACGCCTGGCTAATTTTTGCGTTTTTAGTAGAAATGGGGTTTCACTATGTTGGCCAGTCTGGTCTCAAACTCCTGCACTCAAATTATCCTCCTGCCTCAGGCTCCCAAAGTGCTGGGATTACGGGTCTGAGCTGTTGTACCTGTCCAGAACTCCCTTCTTTTTTTTTTTTTGAGACAGAGTTTTACTCTTGTCACCCAGGCTGGAGTGCAATGTCACGATCTCAGCTCACTGTAACCTCCACCTCCCAGGTTCAAGCAATTCTCCTGCCTCAGCCTCCCAAGTAGCTGGGATTACTGGCACCTGCAGGTACCCACAATCACACCTGGCTAATTTTTTTTATTTTTAATAGAGTTGGGATTTCACCATGTTGGCCAGGCTGGTCTTGAACTCCTGACCTCTGGTGGTCCGCCTGCCTCGGCTGCCCAAAGTGCTGGAATTACAGGTGTAAGCCGCCATGCCTGGCCCAGAATTCCCTTTTTGTTTTTTGTTTTTTTGAGATGGAGTCTCGCTGTGTCGCCCAGGCTGGAGTGCAATGATGTGCCCTCAGCTCACCGCAACCTCTGCTTTCCAGGTTCAAGCGATTCTCCTGCCTCAGCCTCCTAAGTAGCTGGGATTACAGTTGCATGCCACCATGCCTGGCTAATTTTTGTATTTTTAAATAGAGATGGGGTTTCACCACGTTGGTCAGGCTGGTCTCGAACACCTGACCTTGTGATCCACCCACCTCAGCCTCCCAAAGTGTTGGGATTACAGGCATGAATTCCCTTCCTTTTTTTTTTTTTTTTTTTTTTTTTTTTTTTTGAGATGGAGTTTCGCTCTTGTTACCCAGGCTGGAGTGCAATGGCGCGATCTCGGCTCACTGCAACCTCCGCCTCCTGGGTTCAGGCAATTCTCCTGCCTCAGCCTCCTGAGTAGCTGGGATTACAGGCACACACCACCATGCCCAGCTAATTTTTTGTATTTTTAGTAGAGACGAGGTTTCACCATGTTGACCAGGATGGTCTCGATCTCTTGACCTTGTGATCCACCCGTCTCGGCCTCCCAAAGTGCTGGGATTACAGGCTTGAGCCACCACGCCCGGCCGAATTCCCTTCTTTTTTAAGGCTGAGTGATACTTACTCCGTTGTATGTAGATACCACATGTTGTTTATCTGTTCATCCATGGATGGACACTTGAATGGTTTTCATCTCTTGGCTGTTATGAATGATGCTGCCAGGGACTCAAGTGTGCACTATTATTCTTGACATAGCAGCCAGAAGGAATTTTTAAACATGGGATTCAGATCGTGGTCACCCCTGCTCAAACCTTGCCATGGGCTTTTCCCAACACTTACTATAAAATCCAGAATCCCTATCTAGACTTATGAGGCATGATCTGGCCTCTGCTGGCCCCATGATGTAACCTCCTGTCTTTCTTTCTTCCAGCCTCGTGGCCTCTTCTTTTTTTTTTTTTTTTTTTTGAGATGGAGTCTTGCTCTGTTGCCCAGACTCAAGTCCAGTGGTGTGATCTCTGCTCACTGCAACTTCTGCTTCCTTGGTTCAAGCGATTCTCTCTCCTCAGCCTCCCACGTAGCTGGGATTACAGGTGTGCGCCACCACGCTTGGCTAATTTTTGTATTTTTGTATTTTTAGTAGAGATGGGTTTCACCAGGTTTGCCAGGCTGGTCTTGAACTCCTGACCTCAGGTGATCCACCAGCCTCCACCTCCCAAAGTGCTGGGATTAATATGCTCGGGTATATAAGGCCACAGACGTGGCAGGAGCAGAAAGGAGGCCATGCCAGGCATGGTGGCTCACACCTGTAATCCCAGCACTTTGGGAGGCCAAGATGGGCGAATCACTTGAGGTCAGGAGTTGGAGACCAGCCTGGCCATCATGGTGAAACGCTGTCCCTACTAAAAATACAAAAAAATAACTGGATGTGGCGGTGGGCACCTATAATTCCAGCCTACTCAGGAGGCTGAGGCAGAAGAATCATTTTAACCCAGGAAATGGAGGTTGCAGTGAGCATAGATCACGCCACTGCACTCCAACCTGGGCAACAAAGCAAGATTCCCTCTCAAAAAGCAAAGACAGGTGCACTGTGGAGTTGCTGGGAGCAAGTGGTGGCAGGGACACAGGCCCTGCCCTTGAGGACTTCTTGAACTCTCAGCTCACTGCCCTCCTTCCTGGTTCTGGGAAAATGGGGGCGCCTTTCCCAATGCCTGCTCTTGGTCCATGTGCTCTGCTCCCCCACCTTTCCCGAGGTGAGCATCCAGGCTGCCCTCTGGACCCTGGCCCTGCTCTGGTGTGCTCCACCTCTCTGCTCCTGGCTCCTCCAGGTTTGCTTCCTGTGATCCTCTCCCTCTCTGTCCCGCATCCTCATCCTGCCCCTCCCCACGAACCTGAACATGCAGGAGTATTCTGGGAACTGGTTGTGTCTCATGCTCACTGCACTGGGCACTGCTCCCAGCTGTGCTCCCCATTCCTCCCGCTGACTCCTCTGCCCTTCACAATTAGCTCGTTAGGTAGGCACCATCATGGTTCCCACTCACAGATGGGAAGACTGAGGCCCAGTGAGAGAATCTTACATGCAGTCAGGGTAAAGCCGCAGTCTGTTATTTCTCATCCGATGCCACATTTCTACCTTTAGCCCACATTTGCTTCCGGTGACTGCCTGTTTTCTCAATAACAAAACTCCAGGGTCTCTGGACACCCGCACTTCCATCTTAAGCCAGCCTGAGGACTTCTTCTCGAAGCTGCAGGAGTTTCGGGAAACCAACAAGGAGGAGTGTATCTGCAGCCACCCTGAGTGAGCAGGGCTGGGCGAGGGTGGGCGAGGGTGAGCGAGGGTGGGCGAGGGCGGCAGAGCGGATCCATCCCCTGCCTGCTCATCCCCCTCGCCCTCTCAGACCCCAGTTCCTAGGCCTGCATGAGAGCAGCGGCAGCTGCAGCAGTGTGGAGGAAGACCATGAATGTGAGTGTGGGCCCTCGGGCAGTAGCCCAGCCTCCTGCTGCCCTGGCCTCCCCTGTCCCAGAGCAGTCCCATTTGAGGTTTGGGGCCTGGGGAGGCCCCTGAGGTGTTGAGACTCAGGGAAGAAGGCCTGTGGTCTGGACAGGTTGGCCAAGCCCTGGTAGGGGTGGGGTGAGCTAAGGCCTGGGCTCCAAATTGGGGGCTGCCCTGTGTGGCCCCATCCCACCCTCCCCAGCAGCCCCTGAGCTGGGGGGGCTCCATCCCAGCTCCCGAGAGCCCCGGGAGGATGTCTCTTCCCTCCCCTTAGGGCATGGCCCCAGGCTCTAGGAGGAAAGGGGTTAGGAGGAAATGGCCTGACTTGCTTCCCAGAGGGATTGGCCCCTGTGTGGTTGGCGGCCGCTGGGGGCAGCACAGGGCCTGGGGACCTGGGTTCCTGACTCAGAGGGAGCTGTGGCTTCTCGTGGGCCTCGCAGGTGTGTACTGTTACCGTGTCAACCGGCGCCTGTTCCCGGTGCCTGTGGATCCTGGCACCCCCTGCCGCCTCTGCAGGATACCTCGGGACCAGCGGGGCTCTGGGACCCTGGTGCAGCCGGCACAGGTCAGGTGAGTGGCCAGAGCATTAGGACACCTGGAGGGGCAGAGCCTGAACCACTGGTTTTGAGACGAGTAAAGATGGGCCTGGGTGTGACCTCCCAACCACCGGGAGGCTCCTCAGGGGTCCCCCACTGCACTCCCATGCAGGGTAAGCATCCCCATGTCGATCCTGGACCCCCCGCACCGGTATCTCATCCACCGACGGAAGAGCTTTGACGCCTCAGACACGCTGGCTCTGCCCCGGGTGAGCAACCACGTGGGGCTGGATGGCGATGAGGGCAGGGTTGGCTCAGACTGGCCCAGGTCCCCAGGGAGGGTCACAGAGCAAAGCTAGGCTCAGCAAGGGTGAGCACCCAAGTTTCTGGATCATAGGCTGGGCCTCTTCCATGACCCACACCTGTTCCCTGAGGAAGGTAGGACCCCCACTCCATGTACTCGGGGCTTCCAGGGTGATCTGCCTGCAGGCTGGCATGACATGAACGGGCTGTTTATTGGACTCTTGTGTGCTGCAGGCACAGTCCGTAGGGGGCTTAGCTCATGGAGCCCCCACAGCAGCCAGCAGTGCAGGCACTGCCGTACCCCCACCCTGCAGGTGGGGAGACCAAAGCAGAAGGGGAGGTGCCTTGGTGGAAGAGCTAGGATTCGAACCTAGGTCTCTGTGCTTCTGTAGTGCCTCCCGTACAGATGTTTTTTTCTAGGCCGGGTGAGGTGGCTCATACCCAGCACTTTGGGAGGCCGAGGCGGGTGGATCACTTGAGGTCAGGAGTTCGAGACCAGCCTGGCCAACATGGTGAAACCCTGTCTCTAATAAAAATACAAAAATTAGCCGGGCATAGTGGTGCATGCCTGTAGTCCCAGCTACTTGGGAGACTGAGGTGGGAGGAGCAACTCTCCTCCACCCGACTCCTAAATTGAGGGTGGGGCGGCTGGGGTCAGAGGAGGAGAAGGATACAGAGGAAAGTCAGTTTGCTGGTCCCTAAGATGGACATAACTACACCATCTTCAGGGATGTTGGCTGGTAGGTGGGGCTGTTGAGTGAAGTAATCCATTCGGGCGCTTAAAGGAAAGCCCACAGTAGGAAGCGCCCTGTGAATGTCACTGTCACTGTCCTGTCCTCCCATTTCAGCTCTCGGGGCTCCAGGGATGGCTGGATCTGCAGGGATAAGAAAGGGGAGGACTGGGCCAGGCACAGTGGCTCACGCCTGTAATCCCACCACTTTGGGAGGCTGAGGCAGGTAGATCACAAGGTCAGGAGATTGAGACTATCCCGGCTAATATAGTGAAACCCCGTCTTTACTAAAAATACAAAAAAATTATCTGGCCTTGGTGGCATGCACTTGTAGTCCCAGCTACTTGGGAGGCTGAGGTAGGCGAATCGCTTGAACCCAGGAGGCAGAGGTTGCATTGAGCCAAGATCACATCACTGCACTCCAGCCTGGACAACAGAGTGAGACTTGTCTCAAAAAAAAAAAAAAAAAAAAAAAAAAAAAAAGCTGGCAGGGGAGGCATGGGGTAATCTTATGGATAGACACAGGCCCTGACCTGGTGGGGCCTCCTTCCTAATGGCAGGGCACAGTCCCTCCTCCCTGCCCTGGGGAGGGGAGCCTGCCCCAGGCCAGGCACCTTTAACCCCTTGCTTTCCACAGCACTGCCTGCTGGGCTGGGACATTCTCCCTCCGAAGTCCGAGAAAAGCTCAGCCCCCAAGAGCCTGGACCTCTGGTCGTCTGTCTCCACTGAGGCCCAGCACCAGAAGCTGTCAGGCACCAGCCCTTTTCGCCCGGTATGATCCAGATGGCATCCTAGCCTGGGCTGCCCCCCAGAGGGACAGAGATCTTGGAGCAGGCCTGGGGACTGCAGAGCCCCCTGGGGGGTAAGGTTGGGGTGGGGAGGATGGAGCCTGGGAGTGTCTCTCTGCAGGGGCGCAGCCACCCCCTGCCCTGACTCCAGCCATCCCTTGGAACTCCTGCATTCCCTGTGGCCTGCCCTGCTCCACCCAGGAAGGCCACCCTGACTGTAAGATCCAGGAGGGAATGGGGCTGGAACTGGGGATGACCTGTTCCTTTCAAGTGGCCCCATGAGACTTCCCCATCCGCCATCCAGGTCTTGCCAATGCAGGTGCCGCCCCCACACCCCGATCTGGTCAGTGCTCCAGGTCTCTCAGCCCCACATCCCGTGGCAGAAGCCCTAAGGACTGACCCCTGGAGGAGGACAGCATTCCCACCGCCTCCAGCCTGTCCCCTCTGGCAGGCACACCCAGGAGATGGAAGCCCCTGTCCACCAGCTCAGACCCCGCTGTCCTAGGTTGGGCTGGTCGGTTGGCTCAGGCTTGTCTGCCGCCTGGGGTCCAGAGAGGGAGGACCCTGAGGTGGAGGGTGAGAGAATTCTGTAGAAGTTTGTAAATAAAGCTCAGCGCTCTGCAGCTCAAGTCCCCCGTGTGCTGAATCTACCCTGCTAACGCCCTTGGGTCCCAGAAGGCACTCTGGCCTCTCCGCCTGCCCTCCTGGCACTTGCAGAAGGAAGAAATTGTGACCACTGGGGCTGGGCAGTGTGCGTCTGTCACCATAAGGTTGGCTCCTTCTGCAGATCCCCAGCTCTGGGTAATGGCCTCCACCAGATGGTCCCCAAGACAGGCTCAAGATTGTTAAAAAGTCATTTCAGCGAGGGCCTCCGCTGAAGCTGTGGGTCATATTGAGTGACTGAGCTCTCTCCTTCCTGGTCCCAGAACCAGGATCCACTGATAGAGGGGCTCTCTAGAAGTCCCTGAGGTCATGTGGCTCCTCCACTCCCGTCTCTTGTTCAGCCCTGGGAGCCGTGGGACATTCAGAATCCCAGCAGGGACAGATGAGGAAACTGAGAGCTGGACAGTGATTCGGAGGCAAGGTTAGCAGACAGCGCAGACGTCCAGTCTGGGATGAGTAGGCAGTGTCCTGTCTTTCACTCGTCTCTTGTATGTGCTGGTTGCATAATGTGAAATTCCTGTTTTTATAAATGGAAAAATGTGGAAACGAGGCATGAGCTTTCTCTAAGGTTTCTCGGTTTCAAGATGGAACGGGACTATGCTGTCCTGGGGCTTTTTCCTGGAGTTATGAAGCTATAAAAACCTTTCCCTCTCTCTGGAGAAACAAAGTCTCTTGGAGTCCCTACTTTCAATTCTTTTGGGTATATACCCAGAAGTGGAATTGCAAGATCAGAAGGTAATTTTATGGTGTTTAATGTTTGAGACAGGATCTAACTTTGTTATCCAGGCTGGAGTGTGGTGGTGCCATCTTGGCTCACTGCAGCCTTGACCTTTTAAGCTCACGTGATTCTCTTGCCTCAGCCCCCCAGATAGCTGGGACTAGAGGTACGTGCCTCCATGCCTGACTAATTTTTTTTGCATTTTTTGTGTAGAAGGGGTTTCACTCTGTTGCCCAGGCTGGTGTGGAACTCCTGAGCTCAAGCAATCCACCTGTCTTAGCCTCCTAAAGTGCTGGGATGACAGGCGTGACCTACCACCCCGGCCAATCATTCTATTTTTAATTTTTTGAGTAGCTGCTATACTGTTTTTACTTTCCTGCCAGGGATGCACAGCGGTTCCAGTTTTTCCTCATCCTCAACAACATTTGCGATTTTCTGAGTTTTCCATAGTAGCCATCCTTTTTTTTTTTAAAAAAAAAAAAAAAAAAAAAAAAAGATGGGGTTTCACCATGTTGGTTGGGCTGGTCTTGAACTCCCAACCTCAGGTGATCTGCCCGACTTGGCCTCCAAAGTGCTTGGATTATAGGCTTGAGCCACCACGCCCAGCCATAGTAGCCATACTAATGGATGTGAAGTGTATCTCATTGTGTATTTTATTTGCATTTTCCTAAGGATTAGTGAAGTTGAGTGTCTTTTTTTTTTTAGAGACAAAATTTTGCTCTTGTTGCACAGGCTGGAAACAATGGCACGATCTTGGCTCACCACAACCTCTACCTCCGGGTTCAAGCGATTCTCCTGCCTCAGCCTCCCGAGTAGCTGGGATTACAGGCATGCATCACCATGCCCAGCTAATTTTGTGTATTTTAGTAGAGATGGGGTTTCTCCATGTTGGTCAGGCTGGTCTTGAACTCCTGGTTTCAGGTGATCCTCCCCCCTCGGCCTCCCAAAGTGCTGGCATTACAGGCGTGAGCCACCATGCCCTGCCTAAGTTGAGCATCTTATTTATTTATTTATTTATTTATTTTTAACTTATTATTTTTTTGAGACAGAGTTTTGCTCTTGTTGCCCAGGCTGGAGTACAATGGCATGATATCAGCTCACCGCAACCTCTGCCTTCTAGGTTCAAGTAATTCTCCTGCCTCAGCCTCCCGAGTAGCTGAGATTACAGGCATGAGGCATGTGCCACCATGCTCAGCCAACTTTTTTTTTTTTTTGAGACAGAGTTTCGTTCTTGTTACCCAGGCTGGAGTGCAATGGCGCAATCTCGGCTCACCGCAACCTCCGCCTCCTGGGTTCAGGCAATTCTCCTGCCTCAGCCTCCTGAGTAGCTGGGATTACAGGCACGTGCCACCATGCCCAACTAATTTTTTGTATTTTTAGTAGAGACGGGGTTTCACCATGTTGACCAGGATGGTCTCGATCTCTTGACCTTGTGATCCACCCACCTCGGCCTCCCAAAGTGCTGGGATTACAGGCTTGAGCCACCGCGCCCAGCCTGCCCAGCTAACTTTTTGTATTTTTAGTAGAGATGGGGTTTCTCCATGTTGGTCAGGCTGGTCTTGAACTGACCTCATGATCCGCCCACCTCGGCCTCCCAGAGTGCTGGGATTACAGGCATGAGCCACTGCACCTGGCCTAATTTTTTAAAATTATACTTTAAGTTCTGGGGTACATGTGCAGAATGTGCAGGTTTGTTACATAGATACACACGTGCCATGGTGGTTTGCTGCATCTGTCACCCTGTCATCTACATTAGGTATTTCTCCTAATGCTATTCTTCCCCTATCCCCCAACCCCCTGCTATTCCTCCCCTAGCCGCCTGTCCCTCAACAGGCCCCGGTGTGTGATGTTCCCCTCCCTGTGTCTGATGTCCCCCTCCCTGTGTCCGATGTTCCTCTCCCTGTGTCCATGTGTCTTTTAATGTGCTTATTGGTCATTCGTATATATTTTTTAAAATTATTAATGGTCTTTTTTTAAACTTTTAAGTTCAGTAGTACATCTTTATTTATTTTTAATAGAGACAGGGTCTTGCTATGTTGTCCAGGCCTCAGGCTTTTCCTTCCTGAACTTCCCAAAACATGGGATTACAGGCACAAGCCACTGCACCAGGCCTATTTGTACCTTCTGTGGAGAAGTCAAGTCCTCTGTCCCATGTTTTAGTGGTTCTGCTTTGTTGTTGTTCCATGTATAATTTTAGGTCAGAGAACCTGTAGGAGTCAGTGGTTTCTTTAGAAATTCTTTAGCCAGAGGGAGAGGAAAATCCAGAAGCCTATTCTGTCAAACAAAAGTTACAAATTTAGGCCGGGTTTGGTGGTTCACACCTGTAATCCCAGCACTTTGGGAGGCTAAGGCGGAGTATCACTTGAGGTCAGGAGTTCTTGACCAGCCTGGCCAACATGGCGAAACCCTGTCTCTACTAAAAATACAAAAAGCTGGGCATGGTGATGCCTGCCTGTAATCCCAGCTACTCAGGAGGCTGAGGCAGGAGAATGGCTTAGTCCTGGGAGGCGGGGTTTGAGTGAGCTGGGATTGTGCCACTGCACTCCAGTCTAGGCAACAGAGTGAGACTCCATCTCAAAAAAAATTTTTTTTAAAGTTAGGTGCTGTGGCTCACAACTGTAATCTCAGCACTTTGGGAGGCTGGGGTGGGTGGATCATTTGAGGTCAGGAGTTTGGGACCAGCCTGACCAACATGGAGAAACTCTGTCTCTACTAAAAATACAAAATTAGCCAGATATGGTGGTGCATGCCTGTAATCCCAGCTACTTGGGAGGCTGAGGTAGGAGAATCACTGGAACCCAGGAGGTGGAGATGGCAGCAAGCCAAGATCGTGCCCCTGCACTCCAGCCTAGGCAACAAGAGTGAAACGTCGGTCTCAAGAAAAATAAAAATAATAAAGTTACAAAATTTAGGTCAGGTGCTGTGGCTCACACCTGTAATCCCAGCATTTTGGGAGGCCAAGGCAAACATGGTGAAACCCCATCTCCACTAAAGATACAAAAATTAGCCAGACGTGGTGGTGCATGCCTGTAATCCCAGCTACTTGGGAGGCTGAGGCATGAGAATCGCTGGAACCCAGGAGGTGGAGGTTGCAGTGAGCCAAGTTAGTGCCACTGCACTGAAGCCTGGGGGACAGAGCAAGACTCTGTCTCAAAAAAAAAAAAAAAAAAAAAGTTACAAAATCTGCAAAGCTAAGATCAGCTTATAGGTTCAGCCATGTGTAACAGAAGTCCAAAACAGCAACAGCCTAACCCAGAGAGAAATGCTCCCACTCCTGTGTATAGTTTAAAAGAGAGAGAGAAATACTTCTTTCCCATCATGCAGGCTGGAACACTGCCACGGGGCCTGTAATGCATCAGGGTGAGTGGTTTCTCTGGAAAAACAGTTCTTTTGAAACTTTAGAAGACTTCCCACTTGCTTCCAGTCAGTTCCATGCACAAGAATCACAGCCCAAAGTCTCCAGATGCTGCACTGAATGAAAACTGTGATGCCATAGCTTGAATGACACTCTTTGTGTGGCACCAAACAACTCCCATCGTCCCATGAACTGCTCTGTGCTCTGCCCGTCCCCGGCTGTTTCTTCAGAAGGCAGCCTTGCTGGGGCCATCTGGAGCAGTCGGCGGGGTTAGGAAGACCATGGCCTGAACCAATGAGGTTCAGGTCTGGTTGCCTGGGAACTCTTTTCTCTTTTTAATTTTTGAGACAGAGTGTGTTGCTCAGTCTAGAGTGCAGTGGTGCAATCTTGGCTCACTGCAACGTCCGCCTCATGGGTTCAAGTGATTCTCATGCTTCAGCCTCCCAAGTAGCTGGGAATACAGGCACCTGCCTCCAATACCTGGATTGATTTTTGTATTTTTAGTAGAGAAGGGGTTTCGCCATGTTGGCCAGGCTGGTCTCTAACTCCTGGCCTCAAGTGATCCATCCTCCTTGACTTCCCAAACTGCTGGGATTGCAGGCGTGAGCCCCTGCCCCTGGTCTCCTGAGAACTGCAGGGACGTGCTTGAGAAAGCCATGGGCCTGGGGCTGCCTCTCCGGTTGCTTCTTAGGACTGATTCAGCATAGGCTACAGGCTTATTCAAGTTGAAGGGGTCCCAAGAATTACGAAGAATTCCCAAGAATTCTGAAGAATTACCCAAGAAGTCCGAGGCAGGAGTGTTGAGATTCACTCAAGTGGCTGGCAAAATATTAAGGAAATACTAGGGAAAGTTATAGATCAGTCTCAAACCTTTTGAAAGGCCGAAA